TTAAATTATATATAAATTTTTATTTAAATTATATATTTTAAGATACTTAAATTATATATAAATTTTTATTTAAATTATATATTTTTTAATGTATTTTAAATTTTTTTATAATTTTATATTTTATTTTTATAATATTTTTTTTTATATTAAGTTAAAATATATTTTTAATAACCTTTGAGTACGAGGACAGGTTTATTATTTTTGGTCAGAATTTGAATAAAACACTATTTTAATAAAATACAATATAAAGTACATAAAAAAATTTCAAGCAAATTACGACTCTATTTCTCTCTGCCTCCTCCAACCCTTGTAACTTGTGAAACTACCAGAGGTAGCCAAAACTACTTGTCCATCAAGACCGGGAACGACAACCCCTCGCCTGAACAGCCGCCATCACCTTCACAAAACCTTATCTGAACAGAAGCAGCCAACGGGAACAACGTCAACGTTTTAAAATATTATTTTGAGTTGCATGAATACCCAATTAACAATCAGAGGAAGCAGTAATTAATTAATTTAATAAGTAGGAGGAAGATGAAAGGAGGAAGGAAGAATATGAAGAGAGCAGCAGTAGCAGAGGAACACAATTTAAGTCTTGAAGATGGGCAAAGCATCATGCAAGTTGTTTCTCTGAGGGGTTCCAATCTAATTGAGGTATGGTTTTCTTATAACTGTACGAGGAGCCCTCATAACACTGGAGTAATTTTTCAGGCAAAATCTACAATGACTGTTAAAAGTTGAGCAAATCTGAGTACTTAAACAAAATTAGTATTAGGGTTTCCAACTTTATTAACCTTTTTAATTAAGCATCGATTCCTGATGTAAAGGTTTTAGGTTTTTGTCAAATTTCACAATGGATTTTTTTCTTTTTTGAGATTTTTAGACTGTTAGCTATAGACTTTTTAAATGCGAACCCTGTGTGTTCACAGCTTGTTGAAATTTTTTTGGCGTGGCTAAGCTAACAACAACCAAAACTATTTATGTAATTTACCTTAGTTTACTTAACATTCTTCTCCCTTGCCTCTTTTAGACAACCAAATGGGCTTTTGCCACGCTCTTGCATTGCCAAGCCATATCTGTAGCGGCCGTTGCTGGTCAACTCATTTTTAGTTAAGAGCACTTGCACAAGGTCAATAAAATTACAATAATGTGGAATGCGTTTGTAAATCTATGGAGTGGAGCAGCAATATCGGGTGCCATACTTGGAGTGGTGATGGGTTTTTCTTTTTAATTACTATTATGCAGGGGAGATGATGGATTGCTGCTACTATGTGAATACAACTTCGAATTTGCTTGACATTTGCTCTTTTTTCTTTTTTTTATTCCCTCTTCAAAATGGCGTTCTTTTTTTTTTTTTTTTCATAGGATGAGGAGGGTTTAGTGACAATTTGTGTTTGTTTTAAGGTAATGGATGCAAGAGGTGGGAAGTCACTTGCTTTGTTTCCGGCTAAATTTCAGAAGAGTATGTGGATAAAAAAAGGTATGTTTCAAAGAGAATTCAAGTCATAGTTTGACATTCATTTGGCCGTTTTGGTGAATTGGATCTTGGATTGAATGGCTCTAATTTGACCTCCATTAATTGATTGGAGAAGTGTTGGCAGTATCTTAACTGCTTTGTTGTGCATGCAGGAAGTTTTGTCGTGGTTGATGAAAGTGGTAAGGAAAAGGCTTTGGAATCAGGCAGCAAAGTGGCATGTATTGTTTCTCAAGTTCTCTTTTATGAACATGTCCGTGTGCTTCAGAGATCTCCTGAATGGTCACTTTTCTTCACCACATACTGCTAGAAATTGTCGATAACAATAACCTCTATGATACTACTTCTGCGTTTTTCTAGAGCAGTCAATTTTACTTCAAGAGTTGAACTCAACAGAGACATGCACACATCTTTTAATCTGAAGCAGCTTGTGTTGCCAATAGTTGAAGTTCAAAATATGCTGCAAGCTTCTGCTAATTATTTGCTTGTGCCATGTGCTTTTCTTGCTCTTTTTATTGCTCCTATATCATTCAAGTTTTTTCACATTTGTGTTCTTGTCCAATGCAGGCCAGAGATTTTCAAATCTACAGCTCCGGATGATTCTAGTGGAAGTCTGAATATAACCAATGGCCAACTTGAAGAGAATGAGCTTGAATCAAGTGATGATGATGGGCTTCCTCCATTAGAAGCAAATATGAACAGAATCAAGCCACCAGAATGGGAACAATCTGATACAGAGTTCAATTCAGGATCAGATACGGATTCTTAACTTCATGACATATGAAACCCTTGCAGCGATAGGTTCTTGTCCAACATTACATTACATTAAATGCTGATGAAGAAAAATTTGTATTTGTTGAAACATTGATAATTATTTGCTGGAAATTGGGTTTTTTAAGCTTGCCCATGATGCTCAACATTAAGCACGTGAACTGAGCTGAGACTCGCAGCCTTACCCGAGTCCAACTACTTTTCCATGTGAACAATCTTTGCGAAATCTGTGGCACGGTTCGCTGTGCACGTGAACTGAGCTGAGACTCGCAGCCTTTTCCGAGTCCAACTACTTTCCTATGTGAACAATCCTTGCAAGATCTGTGGCACGGTTCGCAGTTTTTTGTTTGTTTGTATATAGTAGTGCTATATGCAATTGCTGAATCCAGCGTTTTATTTTAAAATGGGCATGGTGCTGTATGGAATTGCTGCATCTCGTAATTGCTAGTTTGCTGCCTCTCTCCAGCTTTATCATATTAATTGGGCTAAATTGTAAACCCACCCCCTCTGAATTTAAGTTCAAAAAACAAACACACGTAAAAGTGAACAAAAATACCTCTGATTTCCCACCCTAAACAATATGAATTTCTGAATTTGCCCCAAAATTACTTTAGCGAAAGTTCATAAAAATCCCATTATCCTAGAGTTTGGTTATTTTTTCATTTTGTAATATACTTTACAACCTTGATTAAATTAGATTAATAATGCTCTCATATACTTTATTTTCATACCAGCATAGATAACCAACCTTGTCTTCTCGAACTCGTAGCCCTTGATGACAATTGTTTTTTCTCATAATAGTAGAAAAATTTCACCAAAAATCTCACCCTTTTTTTTCTTTAAATGAAATCTCTAATACAAGAATAGACTTTACCTGAAACACTTGACAACACAAACTAGAGAAGAACTAGAACTAGATAAATGACTTGCGCGATGTTACATGTTTTTTTTATGAATGCATTTTGGGTTTCATTAGATAGGTAAACAAACAGTGAAAAAAAAAACAGCATAATCAATCAATTGTGGATGCAAAGTCTAAGATGGTCAAATTTGTGTGAACCGAAATGCAATGGCTTCTTCATTTCCAAATTTAGCAGTTGAATAAATAAGAGTCTGAAACAAATAAGATAACGTCAACAAGTTCACATGATGACAACATAAGGCAATGATAGAGTTTGAGTTGCATGCATAAACTATCTAAAAGCAAGCCAAACTTTTTAAAAAAATCAAAACTGGAACCCTGGCTGCCGCGGAGCTTTAGTGGTGCCTGACAAAGATTTCATTAAAAAAGAAGCATTCCAAAAAGAAACAGAGGAGGCTGAATGAGAGCCTGCAGAGGAACGGGCATGAAGGGATTCGTTATTGCTGCTCAAGCAACGCAAAAAACGCAGCTAATCTTCCTGAACCCTCTCAAGAGTGCCAAGATGAGGTTTCATTGCTAGTTGGCTGTCTGGCTCTCCTTCCATCTTTTCCCCTGTATTCAACATTAGTTAACTAGCTAAAATGAGAAAGAAGAAAGGTTTAGTGATTTCTTTTACATATATATATATATATATATATATATATGTGTGTGTGTGTGTGTGTGTGTGTGTGTGTGTGTGTGTGTGTGTGTGTTTGTCTTTGTACTTAGTTTTTTATTATTTTACACTTGTTTTATTTTTTATCATCTTTATTTTTTTATTAGTTTTTTATTTTTATTTTCATTACATGTTTTTTTGGAAAAAAAAATATTTTTTTTTATTTTTTTTTTATTTTTATTTTCATTACACTTTTTTTTAGAAAAAAAATATTTTTTTATATTTTTTACACTTGAATATTTATCACTTTATAGTTGTTTTATTTATACTATTATTTTTGTTCTTATCTTTATTTTTTTCATCTTTATACTTTTATTTTTTAAAAGATATTATACAAAGATTAAAAAAACAGTGTTTCACTATAGCAATTGCAATATTGTTTCATTATTCTGCTATGTTAAAAATTAACTTAAGATCTTATATATAAATATAATATATATACGAATCAATTTTTTTGATTCGTGATTATATTTGTTACTCAATGTTAAAAAATGTCATAATAACACCTATATATTAATGTTTATTTAATAAAAGATTGGGCTCCATTAATGTTTTTTTTCTTTTTACAGGATCTTTCATTAATTTTGAATAAAATACTTACTTTATAATGTTTTATTTGGTTTGATTAAATATAAGCAAGACGAGTCTTGAGATTTTAGTATCAAATAAATATTATTAACCCATTAACCATAAAAACACATTTCCTCATTACTTGACCAATCATCTTTTGAGTGTAAGGAAAAGTTTTGAGCGTAGCTCGCAACATAGTACAAGCCTCATAGCTAGTAAAAATATCTAAATCATGTAGGATTTTGTTGTAGCGATTCAAAATGTTCTTTTTTTTTTCTATATAGCCGTGAAATTTTGTTTCTTCAATTATATCTTTTTATCAAAAAATATTAAGAAAGGATATAATTGAAACAAAGGGGACTAAAATATAAAACATGGAGAAAATGAGTGATGGTTTAAAAAATAGGGCAAAAAGTTCCTTTTGATCCTTTTACTCTTTACATGATAACTTTTTCGTCCCTCAATATTTCAAAAATTCAAGTATTGTACAAAAATTTTTAATGTATGAATAAGATTTTTTTATGTTAAAAAAACATGCTGAAAAAGCATTTATATTTATTTTTTAAAAAAAAACCTTTTTAATCAAAAACTTTCATTTCATTTTAAAAAATAAAATTTCATTCTTTTATAGTAAAATTCTAATATTATTTAAAAATAATAATTGACGAGTGCAATATATGTGGACTCATTTCATGTCTGGATGGACTTCAACCATCTAAATTGTGGCTTTCAGGGTGGTCAAATGCTGGCTTTTAAGATAATGTTAAAATCTTCTCAATCACTGCTTTATTTTTAGACAGCGTGCATGACTTACTAATTTTTGGTTTGGTGTTTATGAGCTTTCTTATTTTATTAGCTGAGAAGAAAGAGGAACTACCAAGGGGTTTAAGAGTTTTATAGTCAAATTCTCTCTATAAGACCTTATTAAAAAAATCATATTATTTAAGAAGGTTGATTAAAAAAAATTATATAATTTAAAAAGGTTGATTAAAAAAAAATATATATTTTTCTTGCTAATGAGCTTTCTTATATCCTTTTTTTTTCTCTTCTTCTTGGTTTTCATTTTCAAATAGCCTTTTAGTTTATCTATTTTTTAAATTTAGTTCTTGTTTTTTATTATTTTTTTAATTTAAAATAATTTATGAAGTTATAATGTTTGTTTTGTGACTTAATATAATTTAGCTAGTTGGCTATAGATAAATTAAATAAAAAATTATATTGGTTTACTATAAAGTGCTGGATATGATTTAATATTGTATTAGGTTTCTTGTTTTTTATCAATCATATAAAACCATTATTTATTAATTTTTTCTATCTGTCAAATTTGATCCCTCATTTTTTTATTACTATTTGTTTTTTTGAGGTAATTTTTGTAATTGATTTCTTTTTACAATCTCATTCTCTTTAAGTTTTTTCCCTATCAATTTTGATTTTGATTTTTTTATTGTTATTTCATTTACTTTTGCTAATTTCATAACAGTTTTAATCAAATCTATATTTTTTTTAAATCTACTTTTATAAAATCACAATTAAAAATATTTATTAAAAAATAATTTTTTTAAATATAATAGTTACCATATTGTCAATCACACATTTAATACCAAACATTATGCTTTAATTTCTAGAAAGAAAAAAATATATTATAGAAAATTCTAAATCATGTGGGGAAGCCACTATACGAGTCCACTATAGACCAAGACATGGTCTATTGTGGATTTGCACAATGAATTTTCTCATTTTTGAAGGCTTGGGGTGGGGGAGTTTATGTATTTTTACATGAAATAACATTACTATTCTACCCTTTATTGAAAAAATTAGAAGCCTTTAATGTAAATATATTTTGGTCTTTTTTATATACTTAATGATAATTAAAGGATTGAACAGTGGTATCTTATTCTTTTTAATTTTAATTATACAATAAAAAAACTATTATACCTCTAAGGTCAACAAAAATTAGACCGTTGATGAAGGAGTTTTTTTGACATTTCACAAACTTATAATTAAAAAAATTAACTCTAAAGGTCAAAAAATAATTAAACTCTTAATAAAGGGAGTTTTAAATTTTTCACTTCATAAGCTACAAGAAAAATACACATGTGCCTTTAGAAAAGATAAAAGATCAGTTATGCATTGTGGGATGTTTTAATGCTTTCACATTGATTTATTTGTTATTTCTAGGTTAATGAGAGATGTTTAATAATTTTGAATTATTTTTTTATTCAAAAAAGGTGTTGTCATATATGGTTATGTGCTTGCATGGTAGTAGTGCCCATGCTTTTTAGGTGATGCATGTGACATTACCGGTTGTCCAGACCTAGTCTTCTATTATGTTTCTAGAAATGCCTCTATGTCCATTTTCTTTTAGTGAAGCACGTGACAACGGTTGATTATAAGTTAATGTATTTTTTCTTTTTCTGTTTTTTTTCTCTCCCAAAGTAAGTATATGCCAATCCTTTTCTCTTTCTTTTTTTTCTCCTGAATTTCAGTCCTTATGTTTTAGAGGGCTTAATTTCATCCTTGACACTTTTACAAAAGTTTTTTTTATGATTTCAATTTAAACCTTAAATTACAATTTGTCATATATTATTATTTTTTATTTTTCAATTTGATCTTTATTCTTTTAATTTTTTATTTTGATACTGGGATATTTTGTTAGAATTTTATTGGTTTTTAACTTTTTTTCTTCAATCAAAGTTAATGTTTTTTTTTCTTCTCAATTTAGCCCTCATTCTTTTGATTTTTTTTTCTTTTGTTGATTTTTTTTCAATTTAACCCTCTAATTTAATTTTTTTGGTTCCCATAATTTTTTTTATTTAATTTTCACCCTTATTCTTTTAGTTATATTTTTTATGAGGTTGATTTGTTTCGGATTAGGTTTCATTATTTTTTTTATTTGTCATGCTTTTGATTTAATCATACGGGTCACAAATTTTAAATATTAATACGGCGAAGTATCCCTTCCCCCCTCATTTTATTTTATAATTTTATTATTCTATATTATGTTTTTTAAAAAAATAGTTTTATGGTTATGTTTAATTTCTATTTAATTAGTTTTTCTCGATCTCATTATTTATA